TTTCTCTCTCACTCGCTCTCTAATAAATAAATAAATAAAATCTTTTAAAAAAATTTTAAAAATAAAAATAAAATAAACAACTGTTCTTAATCCCCTCCACTGTGAGCATGTTTATTCACTTCCAGACTTTTCTATGTTTGTAATGTTGTTTTGTAATCTGGTCTTTTTACTTATCAGTATCCCTTGAATGTCTTTCCATCCCAATATAAAAAAAATAAAATAAAATAAAACTATAACATCATTTTCAATGGTCCTACCATATTCTGGGTATACCATAAATTATTGAATCGACCACTGTGTTTAGCTGCTGTGGTGTTTACCATCAATGAAGGGGTAGATACACGTGTATGGGTATCTGATCAGTTCCTGAGAATAAAGTCCCAGAAGTGGAATTCCTCCATCCAAATCCCCAGCCGACTATTCAGTCCCTTGGCTAGGCTTCCATTTCCACTTACCCATGGGGTGTGGTGGGGGGCTACTCTCCCCTCTCAACGTCCCTGTCCTACCAGCCGTCTCCACTCCCTGGCCTGTTGCATAAAGTATTTTCTACCTGCTATTGGTCCAAGTCCCTCCACTCTCTATCAAGTCTCCTTCAAGCTGTATCTCCTAAAGCCAATATTACTGTAGAAAGCCTTCTCGGCTTGGGGCACCTGGGTGGATCAGTCGGTTAAGCGTCCAACTCTTGGTTTCGGCTCAGGTCATCATCTTGGGGTCATGAGATCAAGCCCCACATCGGGCCATGGGCTTGGCAGGGAATCTGCTTGAGATTCTCTCTCCCTCTCCCTCTCCCTCTGCCCCTCCCCCTGCTCTCATGCTCTCTCCCTCTCTCCCTCTCTCAAGTAAATAAATTTTTTGAAAAGGAAGGAAAAGGAAAGGAAAGAGAAAAGAAAAAGAAAGGAAAGGAGAGAAAAGAAAAGAACACCCGCCCTGGCTCTGTGCAAATCTCCCCTCTCCTTGCACCAATTGGCTTAGTTCAGACCAGAGGTCTCATCCCCCAGCAGAGGTCACCAAATCCTCTTGCAAGGAGGCAGCAGGCTAAGGTGAACCTTTAGGGAAAGCCTCCCCCACATACCCCCCTCCCCTTCGCCCTCCCCGAGGAGCACCTGCACTTCCCTCTGTGACAGCACTTGTCACTGCATGTTATCATTGTTGATATGTCAGCCTCCTCTCCAGACACTGAGTCACTTGTCCCCTACATGCCTGTGCCTCCCACCCCAGCACCATATCTGGCCAAGAAGGTGCCTTCATGGCTTACTGAATGTCTGCTACTAAAAGGCCATATTTTTCCAGGAAGAACTCTCAGCCACATTAGGTTATTACCTAATATTGAAAAGGAGTAGCTAATATTGAAAGCAGTTAACTATGACCCACATCCTCACCTTTTGCCAGAAAAGACATCACCTCAAGCCCGCACCTGAGCTGACTCTCTCTTGACCTCACCACTGAAATGTCAGAGAGCACCCAGGATCAAAAGGAGCTCAACTTTCCTTCTTGGATGTTCTCTACCCCTGCCCCTCCCCGAATCCAGATGGTTCCTGGCTACAAACGGGCCTGTGTGTTTTGTTCCTGCCACCTTCGTTTAGGGACTCTGTGTGGTTCCCAAGCTCGTTTCTCCCACAAGTATTGTGGGCAACACTAGTGAGGCAGACAGACAGAGGCCGGCCTTCAAAGAGGTTACATTTCACAAACAAGTAAACTAACACATAAAATAATGATAAATGTCGATGAACACTTAGAAGGAAATTTAAAGGAGGCTAAAATGAAGAATAAGAAGAATCATACTATCGATCGTCCTCAGTTAGGGTGCCCACACAGGGCCTGCAGAGGGGCTGGCCCTGTGCCTCCAGGGGCTGGGAGGGGAGCCTCCACCCCCACTCCCCAGAGGGAACAGTACTCAGAGGCCACCCTTAGGTGGGAAGGGCAAAGGGCCTGGGGCCTGGTGAAGGAGGAAGCAAAGAGACGGAGGGGAGTTTGGGGGGCCAGGCAGGGGTGAAACAGTGTGTAGCTCTGTACAGAAGCTCTAAAGCATCTGTCGAAGTTCAGGGTCCAGTTGGTTACTATAGTTAAGTCATCTGTACTCAAAATTGTTATATACCCCAGGGTTTTGTTTACACCTCTCATAAACAATAAAATTAGTCTCTTGGACTCTTGCAAGTACCACAGTCACGTCAAGGCATCCCACTTGGCTAGAACAAAATTGGGACAGTAGGTTGAAGGAGAATTACGTGAAAATTCTCTGAAACTCAAATTCTAATGTGTTTCAATGTCTTTTAATTAAAGAAATAAAGCGTATTAATCCGTGTCATTTGTTCTTTCTAGTTTCAACTTTTTAATTAAAAGATCTTCAGATTCCTTCAGTGAAGGGGAAAGGATGCAAGAGAAAGTGAAGCAGGGAAGAACCATTCTGCACAATTTGGGAAACAGGCATGTGTGCCCCCACCTATTTCTGCTCCTATCTGAGGACCCTCTTCCACCTACGACTTCTCCCGGTGGAGGTATTTCTGCCTCTGAGCTCCTGTTTATTGGTCTGGCCCGGAGTTAGAAATAGCCAGGCAAACTTCATTGTAAACAGGGTCTGCCGGGAAAGGAGCAGGTAAATGGGGAGCTGTTTTCTGCTTCAGGGAAGGGAGGGTCGCACTAGCTAATTCAAACATGTGTTCTTGGGAAATATGACAACATTCACACAAAGTCTTCCTTATTCAAGGCTGTTTGTGAATAAAACGCACATTGAATCCTTCTGAGTGCTGCCTTTAATTCCCTGCATCCAGTAAGAACACCTCCAGCCTCTGGGCTTCAGGCAGTCGTCCTTGCGGATTGCAAGATTGCAAAATTAACCTGAATCCAAATACCTGGAGGAGGAGGGAAATGCACCACTCGGTAGAGGAGACACAGCTCTTTCCGGAATCGCCTGGATACACATCTTACCTTGAAAAATAAGTCCAAACACAGATTTTCTTGAAACAATTCACTCTGCTAACACATACTGGGGTCTTAGTTTGCAAAACTACCAGGAACTGTGAGAAAACAAAGAAAAGCAAGACATAATAGTTGGTCTTCAAAAAAGTTTACTGATTAAAGGTTCTTATCAACTAATGGGGGGAGGGGCAGATGAGGGGGACATCAGTAGGAAGGCTGCTGAGCAGCACTACCTACCTGATCTACCTACCTACCTACCTAAACTACGAGGCATAAAACACTCAGAGATTAAAGGCGGGGAATTCTCTACCCGTCTGTGAAGATAAGGGTATAGCTTTACGGTGGAATTTTCTCTAAATTCTGTTCTGCTTCTTATGCCTCAGTATTGAGGAAGGATCTAAGAGAGACTGGGCTTTGCCAGGGTCAACTTTTCTTGTCACTTAAATTACAAGAAAACATCACTGAGTTTGCACTGTACAAAGAATTTCAGGGTCCTGAAAGCTTAAAAAGAAAGACTGGGATTCTAAATTTCAAGAGGGACATGCCAACCCATTGAACTAAAACAGACAGAGGAGATTTTCATTACTGCCTTTTACCATCCCATCCACAAAGAGTTCATTTGTGGTGTTGAGTGCCATGGGTGTGCAGGAAAAACACCTCAAAGCTTCAGGGAAGTTTCTCCAGTTCCTCCCATCTCTAAACGGGGGCTCTAAACCCAAGTTTCCTGGATTAGTAAGAAAGCAGGGCTCGTGGCCAATGGGGAAGCATGTT